ACGACAGTTACAAGATTCCGATGACCCGCTCGGATTACCAACATGATCTGCGGGCCCCATAGGGAGGGAGCTCCCGCCTGAGACTTCCTCCCAATTCACTCACAGACGAGGCTCCCGCCTGAGACTTCCTCCATTTTCAGGCCTGGGGAGCTCAAAAGTGACGACAGTTACAGGATTCCGATGACCCGCTCGGATTACCAACATGATCTGCGGGCCCCATAGGGAGGGGGCTCCCGCCTGAGACTTCCTCACAATTTACTCAACGATGATGAGGATGAGGATGATGAGTGGTGGTGAAGATGAGTGGTGAAGAGGATGATGATTGATTGTGAGTGGTGGTGGCGATGATGATGTTTGAATGAGGATGATGCCGATGCCGATGATGATGATGATGATGATGATGATGATGATGATGATGATGATGATGATGTTCATGAGCGTGTGAGAGAGTGCGAGTGATGATGATGATGAGTATGTGAGTGACTAAGCATGTGAGCGAGCATCATCGATGATGCTGATGAGGTTGATGATGAGAGAGTGTGAGTGAGTGTGAGTGGGTGTGTGTGTGTTCCTGTTCCTGCGCGGGGTGTCCAGAGAAAAGAAGAACCCCACTTTGGATGTGGGGAACAAAGAAAACGATGCCCAGGCCCCGCATTTGCGGTCGGGGCGCCGGCCCCCAGCCCCCGGACCCGGTGCCCTGTTAGATGTACATACGCCGGCTTGGGGACGCCCGATCCCACATTGGTGCAGCAGTGTCCCCTCCTCCTGCTCCTCCTCCTCCTCCTCCTCCTCCTCCTCCTCGTCCTCCCCCTCCTCCTCCTCCTCCTCCTCCTCCTCCTCCTCCTCCTCCTCCTCCTCCTCCTCCCCCTCCTCCTCCTCCCCCAGCAGTGCAGCAGTCGTAGGCTGCGCGTTCAGAGGGGAAGCCATCCCTCCGCAACGAGGGAAGTGATCCCTCCCTCGGTCCTCCGCCCTCCGTGCTGCTGCTTCTGCTCGCCCTCCCTCTTCTGCTGCTGCTGCTGCTGCTGCTGCTGCTGCCTCTGCTCCCCTCCTAGCAGGAGGGAGCAGGGGGAGGAGGAAAGAGGAGGAGGAGGAGGAGGAGGAGGAGGAGGAGGAGGAAGCTGAGGAAGAGGAGGAGGAGGAGGCGACGAGGAGGAGGAGGAGGAGGAGGAGGCGAGGAGCAGGAGCAGGAGAAGGAGGAAGAACGTTCAGGACCGTTCAGAAGGAGGACAACGGAAATCCAAAAGACGGGCCCGACGATACAGGCCCAAACCGAATCATTTCAAGAAGCGTTGGCCTCCGGCCTCGCGGACCGCCTTCGGGGGGCCCAAAGGATGAGGACACCTGTTCGAATCAATCCTCGCAAGAGTCTGCCGCCTATTGGGCGTGGGCTCGCAGGCTTTGAGGTGGCGGGGGTCGGTGGTGCGACTTCTGCCGCAAGATTCTACACCACGCGAAAATAAAAGTGCGCCAATACTGCAACGTGTGAAGCGGGTGGGGAGCTTTACCACCAATCTGCTGGGGACCATGGAGAGGGACAATCTCGGGCTCAGGGGTTCGTCTCACGCAGCGCGTCACGTCTCACACACCTGAAATATCGAACCCTTGTTCGAGAACGCTGAACACGTTCTACAGAAAAAACTCAGCAACAACACGACCCCAAGTGTGCCCAGGCAACTGCACAGCCCTCGCCGACGTAGATAGAAGAGCCTCAAAAACTTAGCAACAACACGACCGCAAGTATGCCCAGGCAACTGCAAAGCTGTCGCCGACGTAGGCAGAAGCGCCTGTAATTCCATTTTCGGGCGCTCCTGGGTCCAACGCTCGGCACGGATAGCTGCTCCGAGAGCTCTCCTCGCGCGCCGTCGGGCGAGGGAGCTCTCGACGTCCCTCCTGTTTCTAGGAGGGTCCGTTAGAACAGAACTGCCCCAGGCAAGGTCGGACATCGCTGAGGCTAGCAAATCCGCACACTCGTTTCCGAAAGCCAGGAACATCGATGCCTGGTCACGGCACGCCCCCTCCCCTTGGCGGGGGGGCGGGCATTTTTATCAAGACAGGGTCCGCCGTCTCTCTGGACGACGTGGCCTTGCCGATTCGGGGCCAAAGGTCGGCATCCACCCCGGACCTAAAGGCCCCCAAACCAACCCCCATGCCTTCGGCCCACGAAACAACGATCGGGAGGTGGTCGGCGACGAACCCGAGAGGGCCTGGGATGCTGTCCATCGCGAGAGCCAGGGCAGTGACCTCCGCGCGAGGCACAGTCTGCCTTCGCCCCTCGAGCGCGGCCCCCAGGGCCCACGCCGCTGACCAAGCGCTAGAAGAGGGGACCAAGGCTTCTGCACCAGCTCCGGCCCTTCGACGCCGAGGGTCGTCCCCAACCTTCCCCCCCGGCCCGCCCCCGAACGCGGCAGCGCACACCTCGGCGTCTCTGGGAGTGGAGTCGACGCTGCCAGACCGAGGAGGGAGGAGGGAGGAGGGAGGAGGGAGGAGGGAGGAGGAGGAGGGAGGAGGGAGGAGGTGGAGGAGGAGGAGGAGGAGGAGGAGGGGAGGAGGAGGGGGGGGCCCACGAAACCGCAAGCTTGCGGCGCCCTCGCGATGCGCCCTCGCTGGGCTCCGTGAGGTGTTGGGCCGGCTCGACATCTGGGCGGCCGTCGTTGGCCTCGCAGCCCCGCGCCCGATGAAGCAACGTCTCGGGCGGGGGCCGCCAGGCACCTCTGACAGATCTCACTGGGGAACAAAACGTGGCATAAACATACAAAACTCGGAGGTCCGCGCGGATTTCTCGGATCGGCGCTGGACCCCCCTCCCTAGCGCGCGGAGCGCGCCAGGGGCGGCGCCGGGGGCGCCGCCGGGGGGCCCCAGCGCCGATCCGAGAAATCCGCGCGGACCTCCCAGTTTTTGTGTTTATGCCACTTTTTGTTCCCCTGATATCGTTGGGGGGCCTGGTATCCCGACGGCAGGAGATTCTCAAGGGGCCCACTTCGCCCCCGCAGTCACCGCGGCGAGGAGCGCCCACGGGTCGATCTCGCCGTCCCTGGTCATCCTGGCCATCCCGCCGGAGGCGCGGAGCAGGTCGGCGCCCTTGTCTACGTCCGAGGCGGCCTGATGCCTGGGCGCAATAGTGAAGGGGCCCCAGGACACACAAATAAATACACACAAATAAAATGATTCCCCATATTTTCCCATATGTTCTGGGTTTTTGTCTTCCCCCCCACTTCCCATATTTTCCCATATTTTCTGGGAATCGCAGATTAATTGTGTCTGTGTGTTTTTTCCCTCCTGAAATAGACCATGCAACCGCGTCGGCTGAAGATTCAACATCATCTCGCAAATCAGTGAAATCACCATGGGCACCGTGGTACTCGGGATCAGCCCCTGGAAGGATAGACCACGTGCTGGTAGGAGACTCCGAGCACATAGCAGAATGGGCCGTCCGACCGCTGTCTCTTAGCGCACGGGTCGCGGCCGCGATACGTCCTCGAACAGCTCTCCCCAGGTTGCTCGCGCCTTACTTCAGCCACGAACGCGCGAACATATTTGTTCGCCCCGAATCGCACTGACAGGATCTCTGTTTCAATGCGCAATGGCTAACGGTGTCGTCAAGCATCTCCCTGGTCCCGAGCCGACTGCGCACCGAGACGCCAGTCGGCGAATGCTGGCCACCTCGCAGGTCGGGCCGCCGAGCGACGGATGAGCATGCGCGGCCCGACGACGCGGGCCCACGGCCCGCAACGATGTCGTGATTATTGTTCGCCTCGTACGGGTCCTGGCTCTCCGTGATCTTCCTATCGCATTGGTCCATGTGCGTCGTCGCCCCGACGACGCGTCCATGCCCGAGTCGATAGCCTCCTATGCCGCAACCGCTGGCACGCCGTGCTCGCGCAGACCACCGGAGACAGCTGCCGGAATCTTCGATTATGAGCTGATCACATTGTTTTGGAGATCACCTTCAGACCAGCATGTTTCGGATCTGCGCGAATCGAATTGCGTGCGTCCACCATGGTACTGATGACTGTGTCTTGGGTGTCCTTCGCACGGATGACAGCGTCGTCAACGAACGCGCGGGGCAATCTCCCCATGCCGTACTTCATTAGCGTGTGCTTGGAGAAAACAAGAGTCCCAATAACGGCCACCGTTGAGACAGCCGGCAACGATGCTGGGCTCCGCCAAGATGGCAAGCGAGCTCCAACTTCTATGCTTCAAATGTCGGAGATCCAGACACATTTGCAACTCCAGCGCCGTACCCAGAGAATGGGACCCTTGAGACAGACCTGCTGCACGCAGCTGGGAAATATCTAGGGAGTCCTAAATTTTTTCCAGGTCCAGCAGCAGCGTCGAGCACGATGTCTTGAATTCTCTGCAGATCTCGTCTGATAATGCTCGCGCCAGCGCTGCCTGAAGAGCCGACGATCCGCATGCGGCTGTGCCCCAAGCTCGTCGGCGTCACCGTCCATTACAGAGTTCACGCGCCCCTGACATCACACCCACAACCCCTGTCGACTTGGCGAAGCAGGAGGAGGAGTTCGGATCGAGCGACAGCGACCACAGGGAGTCTCTGAACTTCTAAACAGCCCTATCATATCGACCCGATTTCTTCGCGCTCATCAGAAACACCGCCCTGTTCAGGGAAGCCGAGGCAATCTCCTCCATCTCCTCCTGCCTGGCGCGGCCCATGACGCACTGCAGGCCCTTTGAGATCTTCAACTGTGAATGCCCTGGGCTGGCCCATGCTTCGGGCCAAGTGTTCGCTCTATAATCAAACATCTCAGAAGGGGAAGAATATGCCATGCCTGATCTGCCACAATCTCATCCGGTGTGTTAAGAGTTTCACGTGCGTACCGTTTGGGGCACTCCTGGAATTGACTTCCATCTTCTCAGCCCAAGCTTGCTACGAACGCCGAGATTTGGAGAGGGATCTACAGCTCAGAGATGTCAATCATATTCACCAGGTCCACGCCAGAGGGTTGCTCGAAGGAGCTGATGACGCACTCCCGTTGTAGAAACTACACCTCTTTATCAATCAACTTGAAGCACTCTGCCGCCAGTCCTACCTGCTGTAACTCCTCCAACTTGCCGTACATGGTGTTCACCTCCGACATGCAGATGCCTCGTCGCAGTATCTGAAGCTTCGACAGCATCGACGTAAGTATGCTCCACCACCCAGGCTCAGGATCCCGACGATGCGGTTGATCGGGAAGAACCTTGTCTGAGCCCAGCCGATCGCGTATCGTTGGGCCCGGCCCCCACGTACTCTCAGCTCCGCAGTAGGTACGCTGTGTTGCACGAGTGGCCCGTTCCACCGAGTGAGCCCGTATACCATGAGCATCAGCAGCCGTATCCCTCAACGTCTCGTCGCGGTCCAAGAGCAAATGAGGATGACGGTTGCCTCTGCCTTCGTACTGCCGCGGTGCTGCAGACCTCTGAGCCTCCTCGCCTATATGAAACTCTGCTGGTGGACTGGCGGTCTCTTCCCAGTGCAGCTCCTGACTGATAAGATCGAACTCCTGGTGAAGGTGCTGCTCTAGGTGCTGCTTGCGCTTGGCTTTGGAGGCCGCCAGCGCTTTCTGTCTCTTGCTATGTGGGTCTGGGGATGTTGTAGGCATTGGAATCGTCGGAAGATCCTTAGCCGTCCGAGAACTCTTGTGCCACCAACCCTGCTCACCATATTGGACAAACATACACATCCAGCGTGGATGTTCCAAAAAACTCCGAGCACAATCAACGTGCCAACATCATCTTTGCAAATGGTTGTGCCATTGGATGGGATGACGATCCGGCCTCCTACCTTGGTGATCCACCGCGTTCGCGACCAATCTTTGAGTTGGGCGTTCAAGTCGCCCATCAGAAGTGAAGGGTCACGAACCTGACGCAGGAAAACCGCTAACCTGACCGACATTGCTCGCTGGGGCCGCGAAACTGATGGCCATGAAGGAGGTAGCATGGTACGATCACGACGTTACCTGCTTGTGTATGCCACGTCATTGGGCAGAATCTTTAAGCTTCTCCAAGCCTCGATTGATGTGGTCGCTGTCGTTTTCTTTGTGAGAAGCCATTATCCTCCCGTGGTGCCAGACGATGAACGCCCCGTCGGTGCCGCAGGGACACAAGGAAACTTCCACCCATCACGACGGAGATCCACTCGGGCAGACGAGAGCTTCTCTCCAATCGTATGAATGTCCGTGAACCGATGATGTCGTACTGATGCGCCTGCTTGCGCATGAAACCCTGAGCTGTAGGGCCCCATTCGGGAATACTGCTGAAGAAGAACTTGTTGTCTCCCGCTGGGGCAGCACTCTGAATCACCTGAATGGATATATCGCTAGACATGCCACTGCTGCCCTGCTGACCCACCTGAAAAGGAAACACCACTGCTGACCTGCTGCTGATCAGAGTCCTGTCGGATCCTTTCGGGAGTGCGCGTAAAGAATCTCAGCGAAGAGTGGCCACGTGCTTTTGCCGAGGATCGCCACGAAGTGTGGCCACTTGCTAGTGAGACCACCTGCATGGAAATACCTGAACGAACGCGAGTCTGCGGCCCACCTAGCTGAACACAAGTTTCGCTGCAAACCTGGATGTCCTGCTTCTCCTCAGCCTCCTCCAAGACGTCCGAGGTCATGCCAGGCCTGCCTCTCACGAACTTTGTCCTACCCTCACGCCCTCCCCCACCCTCTCTCGCACCCTCCCTCCTTTGAAACAAAAAAAACAGCTGCGTTCCCACAGTCCCACCCTCCCTCCCTCAGATGAGGCGCGGGGGTGGTGTTCTCTCCCCCCCTCCGACCATCCCTCCGTCACCCTCTCTCTCCCCGTCCTTCTTCCGCCCCGCCCCTCCCTCACCCTCCCTCTCCTCCCTCTCGCTCTCCCTCCTCATCCTTCTCCGCCGCGTCTCTCCCTTCCCCCTCCCTCTCCCTCCCTCTCGCTTTCCCTCTCCGCCCTTCTCCTCCCTGCCTCTCCCCCCTTTCTCCAGCTCTGGTCCTCGCTCCCCCCTCAATCGCCCTAGCTCGGCCCTCTGCATCCTTCTCCTCCCTGCCTTCCCCCCCCTCTCTCTAGCTCTGGCCCTCGCTCCAATCCCCCTAGCTCTGCCCTATGCTTCCTTCTCTTCCCTGCCTCCCCCCTAGCCCTGGCTCTCGATCCCCCCTCGATCCCCCTGGCCCTGACCTCTGCATCCTTCTCCTCCCCGCCTTCCCCCCTCTCTCTCTAGCTCTGGCTCCCGATCCCTTCTTCCTTCGAACCCCCCCCCCTCCGCCGTCGAAGGGGGCCGGGGCAGCATGCCAAGGCGCACCCGGCAGATCGATCAGGCGCCGCCCGAGCGGGGCACGGGTTCAGCTGCCAGTCGCGGATGATGGCGGCGCGCTGCGCCTGGCAGCCCTGGGGGACGGGGTGAGGGCGGAGGAGGAGGACGGGGAGGGAGGAGGAGGAGGAGGAGGAGGAGGAGGAAGGAGGGATATGGAGGGAGGAGGGAGGAGGTGAGAGGGGAGGCGGGGGGAGGAGGAGGCGGCGCACATGAGTACCGCCGTCGTGCTACCGCAAGTAACGCAGGATGAGGAGCGATGGGGGCTTCTTCTAGCGACTGCGAGCCTCGGCCACGACGAGGCTCCACGACGCGAATCTAAGGAACGGCCCGCTCCTGAACCCCACGTGTATTTCTTATTCCGAATCAGAGGAGGAAACAAGGACCCATACCGCTACCCTTCGGCCGTTTCACCCCTTTTTCGGCCTCCTGGAAGGCCCTCGTCGCCACCGCTGGATTTGCCTCGAAATCCTGATCAGAACGCACCCCGGGAGGGGTCCAGGGAGTGGCGCTGTGGGTACCTGATGGTTTCTTCATCAGAGGCTTGGCTATAAAGGAAGGGCAGCGGATTCCGTGGAGGACTGGCGCTGGAGTCCCCAGCGCGCTCCGAACGCCAGGGAAGGGAGCCCAGCGCCGATCCATCCAAGCAATCCGCTCGGACCTTCAAAATCGAAAGCTTATGTTTACGCCGCCTTGGGGGAGGATTTGGGGGCGGCGTTCCCTGTGCCCGCAGGGTCCTGCCGTCAATGCCCGCCAGGGCCGGGGCGGAACACCGATATCTCACAGCCTGGGCGCCCAATTTCGCGGGCAGGCCGCGTGAGCAGCACTAAGGCGATTCGCTGGCCCGGTCACGGCACTGAAGCTGAAGTGTCCGGTACTCTGGTATTTCCCCATCCTCCGGGTGCAGCTATAGTCATGCGTGGGACCTGTCGCGCTGCGTAAGCGTACGTAAGCACGTTGCCACATCGCGCGTGGACATCTGCTGTCGAGGCTCTTCCCGTCTCCTATAGGAGAACTAACTGTCAGATGGTCGCTGTGCAGGCAAGGATGCGGCCTCGACGTCTATTATCAAAGGCATCGCACACACGCAGATACGAGCTCCATGCCACTGCTCTTGACCAAAAAGTGCCCCCATTGGCGCTGTCAAGCTTCCTGACGCGGTTCCCCTTTGGTTGGAATATGTCCACCAACTGGTGAAATCTTGTGAAGAAACCCGCCAGATTCCTTCAAGCGCGTCAGGGGCCAGGTTGCCCGTGCAACAGGCCGTCGGGCCCAAGATCCTACACCTCGGCTTCAAGTGTCAACTGATGCCGCGACTGTCCTGACAAAAATAACCTCTCGCTTTGATGTGCAAGCTGTGGTGGTTACCCGGCAGCGCCTCCTCAACCTCGCGCAGCATGCCGACGGCTTTGAATGCGCTTAGGTCGCGAGTAACATTTTCTTGGGCCAATGAAGAGGAGGAGAAGGAGGACGAAGAGGAGGAATACAACATGGGAACGCCTGAGAAGCGGCGAACGGACCGCTGCATCTTTAGAGGAGACGGAGGAGGAAATGGGTCGTCCGAACCTGGCCAGCCTCGTGATCGGAGGCTGGGGGGTTGAGATCGTAGTCAAACGGAGAGCCCCCATACCAAGACATCGGTTTGGGCTTCGTGTCGTGCGTGCGAGGCGAAGCTGCGTGGGCGGGCGAAACGCATGACCCCGCCCTGGATAGGGCTAAAACCGGGCTCAATGTCTCTCCTTCCCCCAGTCTGGCAGGCGGTGGCCTCGGGGTGTCCCGACGGTGCCCCGTGGTACTCCGTGGTGCCTCGACGGTGTCGTGCCCCATTCCGCCCCTCCAGGGAGGCCCCGCCGGAGCGAAGACGGCATCGCAACACCATGCGATTTGCACGGTTTCGCGCCCCAGTCCGCCCCTCCAAGGAAGTCCCGCCAGAGCGAAGAAAGAATCGGAACACCATACTATCTACACACTCCCACCCGTCCAGGGAAGTCCCGCCAGAGTGAGGAGGGTAACCCCATGCCCACGATAATAAAGTACCCCCCCACCCCCTATACACATAAGAGTTGATTATCGATGGCCAAGTGGCGTTTGCTTGTGGGCGCGGGGCGCGGAGGCCGAACTTCATTATCACGGGGAAAAGTTCGCCATCGAGGTTACTTCCTTCTTATGTTGAGATAACAACACCAAGCGAAGCGAACACGTTTTTTTTTTCAGGATGTCTCAAGCGAAACCAATGTCATTATGTCTCTTTGTAGTTCTTGCTGTCTTTCTTTATTTCTTTATTTCTTTCTCTGTCTCTCTCTCTCTCTCTGTCTCTCTATCTCTTTCTCCTCCTCCTCCCTCTGGCGCCCTGAACTTGTTTATCGCTGGGGTTGAAAATCCGGGGAAAACGAGGCACGTGAGCTACCCTACCAGAGCAGATGAAACCTTTAATTTCCATTAAGCGTTTACATATTAAATGTAATAAGTTTTAAACTTTGGATTTTTGCTATCTCCTTCTCCTCTCCTCCTCTTGCTCTTTCTCCTCCTCCTCCTCCTCCTCTTCCTCCTCTGCCTCCTCTTCTCTTTCTATAGTTCTATGTATATATCTATCTTTATTCTCCTCCCCCTGCCCCCCTGAACTTGTTTACCGCTGTGGTTGATTATCCTGGGAAAACGAGGCACCAGAGGAATCTCTATAGAAACTCCGAGCTTCAGTTCCGTATTATAAAAATATTAAAAGCCGACACGTTCCTTCAGCCTCCTGAAAGGGCTCCAGAATTCTTCAATTTCGTTTTTGGAATTAAATGTCGATTTAGTAATGGTGAATAATATAGAAGTGAAGCTCAGAGGCGCGCGCGCACATCCGAGCTTCAGTTCTGTAGAATGAAACTATTAAAAGCCGACGCGTTCCTTCAGGATGTTTCAGAGAGGACCAAAAGCTAAGGATGTCTCAATATATCCTCGGCTTTGGCTCCTCTGTTAACATCTTTATGCTGGCCTCTGGTGGGCAACTTTTATTATCACTCCGTGACGCCGAACTTTATTATCCCTGGGGGGTTATTCTCTCTATAGCATGGGGTTATCGGAACACCACCAAGGATGCCCCGCAAGAGCGAAGAGGGAATCGGAGCACTATAATCTTCACACTGTTTCGTGCCACTCCCACCCCTCCGGGGAGGCCCCGCCAGAGCGAGGATGGTATCGGAACGCCATACAATTTACGCGGTTTCGTGATCCTCATCCTTCCAGGGAAGCCCCGCCAAAGCGAGGAAGGTATCGAAACACCAAACGATTTACACGTTTTCGTGCCCCTCCCGCCCCTCCAAGGAGGCCCCGCCAGAGCGAGGAGGATATCGGAACACCAGACTATTTACACGACTTCGTGCTTTTCCCACCCCTCCAGGGATGCACCGC